GTTAATCTTGAGGAATGTTCAATTGTTAAGAATTTAAAGGGTTTCATATAATAGACAAGTAGGAGAGTCTTGGGAGAGGATAGATGAAGGCTCTCGGGTGATGACCCTCAAGTGTATTGAAGTTAAGAATTTGATTCAACTATATAGGGATATGAGTTTTTTTTTAGCAGATAGGGCAGAAGCCTCCAGTACATGATTGCGTATTGGATTCATTGGTTGTCGTGACCCCTAAGGTACTAGACAAATGCAACAGGGGATGAGTGGTCTCTTTGTGGGGGCTTGCCCTTGGATGCATTGAAGTTTGGAACTAACTGCAGTTGGGATCCTCCCTATTGGAGTCCATATTGTTGTTGTGTTATTGTTTTATGACACTGAATTGTATGGAAGTTAAAGGTAACACAAAGTATTGGTATGGGGTCATGAATTTGGTTCAAATGCACATATTGGAAGCATATGTGATCCTACAATATTCAGTGATCGTTGTCGCGGTTGAAATCGAGTCTAAAGAGATGAAAATTTAAGTAATAAACTCTTAATGTTGTATAGCTCCCTCTCAAGGTCAAGATAAAGGTTTAGCTATAAAACAATGTTTCTCGACTAAAATTGACCGATTTGCTATTCCCGTTTGGAAATTATATATCACAACTGCATATTCTGAGATTTTCATGGTCGCAGCTATCATTGTATGGCCGTAGGCGCTATCTAAAATTCATCAAAATTTACCGGGAGCACCGGTAAATTTTGATATTCATTGTATCTTGAAAGCAGAAGAGTTTTACAGGCTAATTTTTGTAGTGCTTATAATACATCCGCAGGGGCATCCAAATATATCAAAATTGTAAGGAATCACTATCCAGCCAATTTTCAAAATTTACCAAAACTTTGTATTACCTTTAAGGGTTTGATTCAATATTATTTGAACAGAAAGGGCGGGAATCTCCAGGATATGATTGGGTATGAGGATTTTTTTTGATTGTGTTCCCATCTCTCTGTTCTCTATTCAGTCGCTGGTGGCTTTGAACAAGCAAAGGTGTATCAGGGGGAATAATACAAATAACATAAAATAGCAATATGAAATAAGGATTTGGCGGGAAAGGAAAAGAAGAAGACACAAGTTAACCCGGGAGGAATTATGTATTATTAGATGCATTATCGGGGAGGGTTGGGTTTTCAGTTCAGAGCCATGAGCGGGGTCGGAGGGTGTACTGAAGAATTGTGTTAAATGAATGATATTGTATTATCATGGGTGAGTGTGTTTGTATGCTGTCTGTGTTGTGGTATGTCTGCGCGTGAAGGGGTATCTGTTCCTGCCTATACTCACGAGTTACAACTTGGGGCGCATGATATGAAGCTGTTTGTTTTTAATTTGAGGCTAATAGATGTTCATAATTTCATGGAAACTTTACAATTGATATAAATTCCTACTGCAATTTTTGTTTAAGTATGTGTATAGATAGAAAAGAAAATCAATGAATAGTGTCAATTTTATTTCGGTAAATGTTAGAGTTTTAAGGGATAGGACTAAACGATTAGCTTTTTTTAATTGGATTAAAAGTAAGAAAGGGGTTGTAGTAATGTCGCAAGAAACGTACAGTACACGAGATGAAAAAAAAATAATCAGATATGATAATTTACGTCTGGGGACCTACTTTTAACGTCACCACCCGAAAAACGTACTATTAATTAAAACACGGTGCGTAATTAAACGTAAAATGCGCCCCTATATTCTGTCGCTTTTGAAGCCACATAGTAGTCAGTGCCCATGTATGTGGCATCATAATTCCCTGACACCACACTTGGATGAATTACATGTACCAGCAACATATATGTTCATAGGTCTCTCGATCGAGCAGCGAACCCGTTGTCCCACCAGAGGGTGCGGGAATTTGATATTATGAAGATAATTCCACACGGCAATAGGTTAGGGCACAGTAATTCATTACACAAGACGTGTCGATCTTAAAAGTAAGTCCATTCTTAGTGATTAATTACACATGCTAGTGGGTTAAAACACGAATGGTGTCAAATTCCCCTTGAAACTTTTTATTACGGACTTTTAATGTTTAGACCCAACAGGCACATGAAAAAATGTCATTTTATTATTATTATCTTCTTCTTAGATGCTGCTTGTAAGTGTCGGCTTGCATGGTGATGTAGATATACAGTAGGTTTGCGGGTGCACCATGTGAGAGAGAGAGTGAGAGGGTCGAGCCACTCCTCCTCTCCAAGCGCTATAGTTCTCCTTAGAACTATATGCTAAGAAAGATAACAAACAGTCCTTTTCAGGACTCCTCAACCCTCTCACTCTCTCTCTCTCTCTCTCTCTCTCTCTCTCTCACACATGGTGAACCCGCAAACCTACTGTATATCTTCTTCTTGTTTTTGATATTATTATGGTATGTCGGAGAATTCCCCGCTCGGATCCCCCTATCCGCCGTTGGAAGAGGAACATACGGATATCGCCTCTTGTTAGACTAAATGTACCTAAAGATTTAAAGAAATTTCAACCTTGATATCAAATTACCCTAGTAACAAAAATCAGAATTTGTGACGTTTGAACGAAGATTTAGAAATTTAGAAATTCATGAATTTTTGAAAGTTGCTATAATTTAAGCAGGGTCTCTTCAAACTGTCAGAATCCAATGTATTCCAACACAAAAAAATTAATCAAATTAAGATATTTCAAAAAGTGTATGACTCGGGAGGGTCTTTTGTCTTTAGAGGATCTGTATTTTTATATCATGCTACCTACTATATTTTTAGCAGAATGAAATAGGGGAGAAAACAGATTTCATTAATGTTTTCGTACACGATAAACAGGACAAAATTGCCAATTTCAGATACGCATTGATCGCAGTGATCTCATATTGTAAACATTCATAATTCTCTCATGATTGGTCCAATTTATTTCAAACTTCACCATTCCGTTTATCATATTTTTTTGTTTTTACTTATAAAATGATTCAAAGCGTTGGATTGCCCTGATAAAGAAATAACCTTTTATCAATGTTGTCCTTTTTAATACATCAAAGTAGGCTATCTTAAAATAGAAGAAAAGACAAGTGGGTAAAAATCAAAAATCAAGTCAACGAGCAATAATATTATAAGGTTTTTCATATTTGAACCAGTAGATTTTTCTTTACTGAATATTAGACCCCCTCTCTCTTGTTTATGCTTTTATGCCTTTCATAATTTTCTTTACTATATGTAAATCTGCTTTTCGATTTTTTTTTTCTTCTCTCTTTACTCAGTTTTCGACAAATCTACAATTTCTCCTATTATGTCTTTAGTTTCTGTATTTATTCATGCCATTGATTTATTTTTCTGTTTAAATCTTTCTTCTCATTGAAATGTTTTTTTACCTCCCATACAATGAGTGTAAAGAATCGATAAAACATACTCAATGGAAGATGATAAATTTAGAAACTTGAAGAACAAAAATAGAAAGCTATCAACAAGGGAAAAAGGGATTAAAACTAAGAATCTTGAAAGTATCTCATCGGTCATACAACGACAGAAATCATTTCTTAGTGAAGTTAAGATACTAGATTAAAATGATTGAAATAATACGAGTATATAATGTAGTACTAACATGACAAACAGGGATACATTAACTGAATATACTGATCTGGGACCCGTTTCACAAAGCCTTTTTTTTCAATGACAAAAATCACTGACAAATCTGCTGATGACCAACCAAAAGCAAGGATTTCACTAGCTTATAACACAACAAAAACTCTCATTTGTCACTGATGAAAAGTTTTGTGAAATAAGGCCCAGTTGTTGCATCAAAGAGATTCAACCATGCATGGTGAAGATCGCCCTCTACGATTAATACTGTATAATGACGCAGGTGTCTGACATGGTAATATGTGCGTCCTCGAAAAAGCGAAACCGAGGGCTACACCAGAGAAAGACCTTGACCCAGCTTTCCCCATCATCCACCAAACCATCATCCTTTGTGACGTCATTGACATCGACCATGGCCTCCTTAATAAACTCAAAACCCGATTGGTCTTCACAGCCTCTTTGATCTTATCACTGAGACACTTTCTTTTTCTGTATTCAATGCAACGCAGGTCAAATGATCTCATAGATATCATGAAGACAATATATTGAACCGATGTTTTTTTATATTACGTCTCGCTAAAATCTGACAGAGAGGGGTCGGAGGGGGGGGGGGGGGAGGGGCCTCGGCGGCTGTTGAATCACCCCTTTTTATTGATATTGATTTCAAAAATGAAACTTCAACAAATTTACAATATGTAGTTCATGCCATGTAAGAAATGGACGAACATTGCCTATATTTGATTATTGATAAAAAGTAATATTGAACTTCTACTTCTAACGTAATTTAAACAAGCTGAGTCCGGTATTCGCAGAAAGCGTTTCATGACGTCCCTCGTTCTTTTTAAGGAATTTCATTGTAAAGATGTCCCCTGAAAACTGTCACTCTTGACCCTTTTATTCAAAATATGAATAGAAAAGGCTTTAAACTATAATAATATAGTTACGATCATGTTCCAATTTCAGGACATCCTACGTCAAACCAAACTCCCCCTCCTCCCCCCCCCCCATACACACTTTTTTGTGTAATCATGTCGGTTCAAGCGCACACACAAAAATTATGATGTGATGTTAACCCAAGGAGATTCCTTGGTTAACCAAACTATTGCCACGCCCCACATTCTATTTACTTTCTAAACGTTTCCAACTCCAAAGTAAATTGATTTGGCTTCATGTGAACGTGCCAATACCAATGTCCAATCCTCAGCTTACGGTCTTTGTTTGTAACCCCGTCACTCTCAAACGGATTGGCTGATATCTTTGTCTCAGATTCTAAACGAAATCCTGGATTTAGTTCATGCTGCAATCATAATTATAAAACTTTAGGTCAGTCAGGAATCACATGACTTTTACAAGCCGATCGCCTGTCTGATTATCAAGATATTTATGATTGGAAGTCGAAATTTCACAAAACCGTTTTCCCAACAGTTTCTATAACACTACAGTCTATTGGGATAAATGAGTATGGTAAAACCGGTCACTCAAATTTTTTTAATTTTTGAGGTAATTTTTGAGGAACTTCGACTATAATAATTGTGAAGCGCAATTTTGTTTAAGGCATCAATATTACACCATATCACAGACGATGATAACACGTAGGGCCATGCATCTCAGATTTGTTTAACTGAAAAAAATTACAATGCCTTAAAATAACGCCGAGCACGAGGCTGAATTCATAATGAAGGCTCGTACAGTAACAACTTAGTCATAGTTGACCCGACCTCGCCTAGCCCATTGTGCATTATGAAAAGGAAATATTATTAACCATTTTCGTGGTCTCTATTTGCTAAACGGTTTCAGAATAAGAGCGGTTTTATTACAAACACTGCCTTGACTTTGCTTGTCTCGATGTGCTACGAAGCGTGAGTGCTTGTGTACACATTACATTACATGCTGGAGTTTGATCGCTTGTGTGTGAAATCTTCATTTTAGTATAGTACGGCTCGAACGACTAGATCTGCAAACGGTAAGTAATACATTCCATAACTTCTCCTAATTTTGATCAACTTCAAAGGGCAATTTGTTGTAAATTCAGCAATAGGCCTACAAAGAGGAATGACACGGGCATGTGAATGGTTAATAAGATTAACTGATTGTTGACGATATACAATCGACTTTAATCTATCATACTCCGCATGTCTATTGCACCTTGTCATTTAGATGTATTTATGACTAATTTATCTTGAATGACAGCACGGCGTCTGCGCCTGTCTTTATATCAGACTATGGCTTTTACGTGTTAATGTTTATACAACTCGATAAGTCTACTGTTCACTTTGCTTTGGTTATTGGATTACTTCTGTATTATATCCTCCCTGCTACAAATTAGATACCCTGATATAATTATAGTCTTAGCTGAGTTTGTAATACAGATCTCAGTGTCATGATTCATTGTAAAGCGTTTAATATTGTTGTAATTAGTAAAATGTCCCAGTATCTTTTTCTTGGCGTATGAGCTTGATCAGAGGATCATATAAATCACTTCACGTAAGGGTGATAATAGAAGTGTTGTAGTCTAGTGGATAAGTCACCCGACTGTGGATCACAAGGTACGGGGTTCGAGTCCAACCGCGGCACTAATGTCCTTTGGCAAGACGTTAGTCGATATTTGCCACTCTCCACCCAGGTGTTAAATGGGTACCGGTAAGATGCGAAAGGTAATGTGGTTGGATGAGCAACTGTGCGCTTGTAGAATGGCGACTGGCCGGAATGCTCCCCAGGGAGTGGATAATGCATGTGCAAACATTGTGTGCAAGTAAGCCAAAATCCGATGACTGGTTTAAATACTGCGCCCAGAAACAAAATAGTAAGCGCGATAGAAATGTTATGTATTATTGTTATTATAATTACTAATAATATTGGTGATTGATTATGAATCACTGCTAAGAACGTAAATAAAGGGTTAGTTTAGACTTATCATCCATACCCTGCAACCTAAAGACCTAAAATACTTCGTAATGAGGATTATGGCTTCTATATGGCACTACCTTTCGATCCCGGGACCTCCCGTATTACGAGATCCCTTTGCCCAGGGCAGTTCACCGAAAATGTAGCATATAAGTAGAACAAAAAAGTAGTAGGCCTATATAGGTTTTGACTATGCATTATAAACAAAAGTAAATGCCAAAGGGCACATTTAAGATTGTGTATACAGAATATCTGAAAACTGAGACTTGAAATTAACACACAATAACCTTTCATTTTGTCACAAACCCCGAAAAAACTATCCAAAAATGAACCATCATTTTCCCCCTTCAAATTCTATTGCTCAAAGTAATAAACTATCAACACTACTTATAGGTGGTGGCGATTATTTTACAAAGTTCAAAGTTCAATTTATTTCTCCACAAATGCAAAACATAGGGAGCTACATAGAATAAAATACATACATACAATACAATAATAGAACATGTACATTATATATAGAACGACTCCAGTTGGAGCAATGTATGTTTTAAAAAGAAACAAATCAGCAAATGTGGAAGGGGTAGTCAAAAATCAAAAATGATTTGTCGAGGACTACCACTGAGGACTACTACTACTGATTGATAAGAAAGAATAAATGCTTTTTAGTAAGCAACCAGGGTCTTAAAGCCCCACTGTCCTACTTGTAGCTACTTGCTCCCTCTATATAGAAAACTTCCCCAATCGGTGCATGTTGGTCCCCCATGATCCTCTTTTTCTTATGTTAGATGAGAGCTGAGTTAATGAGATAGCCACCTGTCAGTGACCTCGCTGTGTGGTGTAATCCCTTCTGGCCCAGTAGTATTGACGGTCTTTAAAGGGACTTAAGGTAACATTGTTCAAATGAGAGGAAAGGATACTAAAGGTAGTGACTTCAATGCTAGATGTAGAGTTAAAGATAACAGTTTGCGTGAAAACAGACCATTATTAATGATTTAAATTGAAAAAATGATCTGATCAATTCTAAAAAAATTCTTCCAACTATATAATTATAATTAAATCAAAGTTTGGGTGAATGTAATTGATCACAAAGCAAGAAATTGGCTCTTTATACCATTTCAAACATATTAGTGTTAACAGATTATTAAAAGCCTGTTTTATGTCTTGTTTTCATGGAAAACCCGTTAGGAATTCAAAAATTGGTTGGGAGAATTCACTGTTATAGAAAAGGAGTTACACATTGACGCCTTCAAAGAAAACCATCAATATCTTTGTGATTCGAGAATTGTTCAGGACTTATGTGCATGTTAGAGGATAAGTACAGCAGCAGGAATATGATAAGTAACATTTCATACAAAAATAAGCAGTTTTTGCATTTACCTTAAATAATGCTACCGGTTCACTTTAAAGCCTATCTGCACTAGTTTGGCCAGGAGGGATAATACCTCCCTGCATGGTCACTGACAGGTTGTTATCTCATCAAATAAACTCTCAATTAACATAAGGGAAAGGGGACCACGGGGACCAACGGGTACCGATTAGGCCTTTTTTGCTGTATAGAGGCCACAAGCAGCTATAAGTGGGGCTTTAAAATATGAGAGTATTCCAAATATGTCAGGGTGAGTGGTGATCTTTGCTCTTTATACATTGCCTGTTTGGTTTCCCTCGCTCCAGAATGTAAAAGAGAAAAAGAAATAATAAGAAAGGGAGAAGAAAAAAAACCAGACCCAACTCAGACAATAATGTATGTATCCTTTTCCGTACTAATTACAAATAAATTGGTTGTAGTTTTAAATCAATCTTAACATTAAGATTAAATCTTTTCCCCCCTTTATGATGAGTCAAGAAGACTATTATTTTTTTGAAAGTTAAGGAGAGTATACTACGAAATAAATCAAAGAGTTGCCCATACAATCGTACATACAAAGCACCAATAAGCTTCTCTCATGTACTCTATTACTTCCTGTTCAACAATCATTGATGAATTTCCTGCGTTATATTAAGCCCAATTAATTATGTCAATCATTCAGTGTGGCAAGACAAACGTAAATTCACCTTCATATACTGCTTTATTTTATGCATATTTTTTTTTTTTTTTTTTTTTTGTATTTATTTATTTCTGATATTTATACAGGGTGGCACATCACCAGTGTGGTGGTTTTCCATGAGGCCCTGTTTGGTAATATATAATAAAACAAATAACAGCATCAAAAGCAAAATAGATAAATACACAAGCATATAAACAGGTAAAATACAAATTAATTGGTATCCCCATGAAATAACTGATCATTCAAGAATCATCCTTGATCATTTACACGAAAATGCTTGTTTTCAGGACTTCTATACGTCATACTCAATACAGACGACATATTCCTTCATCAATATTTGAACAAATTTGTTTTACAAAGCCACGGAGAGTGTTATTAAGTATATCGTAGAGTTGCTTTTATACAGTACTTTTTACTAGTGTAGTGCCGATTAGATCGTGTTCAAGCCTTTTACTGCCCACTTTCGATGAGTCTCGATCCTGCTCTCATTTAAACCAACTTGATGTCACTAATCAATAATAAATAACTGTTGTTTCATTTTGTGCATTTAAAGATAAAGTTGGGTTAAGGTCATGGGATTGCATTGTGAAGATAAAAACGGGGTGGAATCGATCAGAAAAAGTTGATCATGTAGCATATAAGTATTGGTGTGTACTGCAAGGTTCTAAAATCATCACAATGATAAGAAATTTGGCCCATTGTTGGTAAAGTAACAAGCACTGTACACAGAAAGATGTAAATGGGGCTACATAAACATGTGGCATACAAATCGGGCCTCGTTTTAAATCTGTTACTTGTCATTGTTAGAATCTGAAGTCATTCGAAGAGCCATGTTTTTCAGGGAACATTTGTTCTCTGATGTTCTCCCACACTTGCATAATAACAATGTTAAACTCAGAACCAGAACTCAACCTTCTCTTTAAGACAATATAGGATTGTCAGTTTTGGTTTTATTGCGGTCTGGATGATATGTACTAGTGATTACTAACACGTATCAGAAAGAAAGTTTCTATATTCGCTGAAATGCAAACTTGCCACCCAAAGTCCACATCGCACGAAAACCAAGGTTTGTCGACAAACCTCCTTTGTGAATTCGGGCCATTGTGTTCTGCTTTTTATTGCTATTAATCTTAAATCAGGTTGGCTTCCCTTTTGAATTATTTATATACATATCTTTTGTTATTGGAGAATTATTTGAATTGATAGGGTAGATACGGAACTAGCCATAGATGTTTGTCGCTCATATTTTATGCACCAAGATACAAGTCATTCAAAATTACAATGCGCATGATGAAGCGATAGTAGGGACTTTTAGATTTGCGTGGACTAATACGTGTGACGTCCATTCAAGGCAGTGCGTTAAAGATGAAGTTGAGTTCTGGTCATGCGATTGCATTGTAAAAGAAACGATGTGGAACCGACCAGAAAAGGTTGATCATCTAGCATATAAGAATTTGTGTGTATTGTAAGGTTTTGGAATC